GTGCCGTGGTGTCCCGTGGTGTCCCGTTGAGTGAGATCGATAGTGAGATCGATAGTGAGATCGATAGTGAGATCGATACTGAGATCGATGTGGTGCCCCGAGGTGCCCCGAGGTGTCCCGTGGTGTCCCGTGGTGTCCCGTTGAGTAAAAATCAATAGTGAGATCGATAGTGAGATTTACAGGTGTCCCGTGGTGTCCCGTGGTGTCCCGTTGAGTCAGATCGATAGTGAGATAGATAATGAGATCGATACTGAGATCGATATGGTGCCCGAGGTGTCCCGTGGTGTCCCAAAAAATGAAATCGATAATGAGATCGATACTGAGATCGACAAGTGTTCTGTGGTGTCCCGTGGTGTCCCGCTGGGCTGGTGGCGCGCGGTGTCCCGCCGGTGTCCCGTGGTGTCCCGTGGTGTCCCGTTGAGTGAGATCGATAGTGAGATCGATAGTGAGATCGATAGTGAGATCGATACTGAGATCGATGTGGTGCCCCGAGGTGTCCCGTGGTGTCCCAACAAATGAGATTGATAGTGAGATCGATGGTGAGATCGATAGTGAGATCGACAGGTGTCCCGTGGTGTCCCGTGGAGTCCCGTGGTGTCCCGTTGAGTGAAATCGATAGTGACATCGATACTGAGATCGATGTGGTGCCCGAGGTGTCCCGTGGTGTCCCGTGGTATCCCGTCGAGTGAGATCGATAGTGAGATCGATAGTGAGATCGACAGGCGTTCCGCGGTGTCCCGTGGTGACCCGTTGAGTGAGGTCGATGTGGTGTCCCGCCGGTGTCCCGTGGTGTCCCGTGGTGTCCTATGGTGTCTCATTGAGTGAGATTGGAAGTGAGATCGATAGTGAAAACGATAATTAGATCGAGAGGTGTCCCGCGGTGTCCCGTGGTGTCCCGTGGTGGCCCGTGATGTCCTGTGATGTCCCGTTGAGTGAGATCGATAATAAGATCGATAGTGAGATCGACAAGTGTCCCGTGGTGTCCCGTGGTATCCCGTGGTGTTCCGTTGAGTGAGATCGATAGTGAGATCGATTGAGTCAAATGTTGGTTCCCCCCTCTTCCCCCCCCCCCACAACGTCCTTATCACCCGAAGGGTGGTCGTAAAAATATATATATGTATATGTATATATATATATATATGTATATATCGGAGGTTGGGGGGTGAGTCCGACGTGAAACGGAGACCCCCCTACCGGGAAATCGATTTCGGTTTCGGGTTCGTGCCGTGTGTGCCGTGCCGTGCGTGCGGGCGGGCGAGGCGAAGCTGCGTGGGCGGGCGAAAGGAAATCCTCCTGTGGCTGGGCCGCGGCCGGATCAAATGTTGCTCATCCGGCGGCCGGTGGCGCGCGGTGTCCCGCCGGTGTCCCGCTGGTGTCCCGAAATCCTCCTGTGGCTGGGCCGCGGCCGGACCAAATGTTTCTCCTCGGGCGGCCAGTGGCCCGCGGTGTCCCGCCGGTGTCCCGCTGGTGTCCCGAAATCCTCCTGTTGCTGGGCCGCGGCCGGACCAAACGATTCTCCTCCGGCGGCCGGTGGCCCGCGGTGTCCCGCCGGTGTCCCGTGGTGTCTTGTGGTGGCCCGTGGTGTCCCCTTGAGTGAGATCGATAGTGAGATCGATGGTGAGATCGATACTGAGATCGATTTGGTGTCCCGAGGTGTCCCGTGGTGTCCCGTCGATTGAGATCGATAAGTGAAATCGATAACGAGATCGACAGGTGTCCTATGGTCCAATGGTGTCCCGTGGTGTCCCGTGGTGTCCCGTTGAGTGAGATCGATAGTGAGATCGATAGCGAGACCGATAGTGAGATCGAGAGGTGTCCCGCGGTGTCTCGTGGTGTCCCGCTGAGTGAGATCAATAATGAGATCGATAGTGAGATCGACAAATGTCCCGTGATGTCCCATGGTGTCCCGTGGTGTCCCGTGGTGTCCCGTTGAGTGAGATCGATACTGAGATCGATTGAGTCAGATGTTGGTATCCCCCCCTCTCCCCCCCAAACCTCCTAATCACCCGAAGGGTGGTCGTATAGGTGTGTATATATATATGCGTATATATATATATATATATATATATATATAATAGAACCACGCGCGCGCTTCGCGCGCGCTTAGGTTCTAGCTAGGAGGCGAGCTTGAGTCAACGAAAGTCGCAGGGAAGGGGGCAGGGGGAAGAAGGCCAGAGAGCGCTGAAGGATACAAATACTGGAACCCTCTTGTGATTTTGTGGGGGGCCTCGTCCGGCCGCTCGCTGGGAGTTTGACGTAGCTTCTCGGGAGCCTCTGAACCTGTCGGGGGCCTCCTGGAAGCAGGTTCGAAGCATTTTGGGGGCCGATTTGGGGCTTCTCGGGGCCTCCTTTGGGCCTCTTGGGGGTCTCCTGGGGCCTCTTGAGGGGCCTCCTTGGGGCCTCCTGGCGGCCTCTTGGGGCGGAAGGCTCGAGCTTGCGGTTCGTGGTCCCCCTCTGGGCCCCCTCTTGGGCCCGTCTTGGGGCCCTCTTGGGCCATCTTGGGCGCCTCTTGGGCCGTCTTGGGGCCCTCTTGGGCTGTCCTGGGGCCCTCTTGGAAGCTTCTTGGGCCGTCTTGGGGCGGTCTTGGAGGCCTCTTGGGCCGTCTTGGACGCGGTGAAAGCCCAAGATGCGAACATGCGAAAAATATACGTTTTCCCATAGGAATGGCACGATTTTTGTTTCTTGGACCTCTCTTGGGGTGCCTCTCGGAACGTCTTGGGCTGATTTTGGAAGCCTTTTGGCGCCTCTGGGCGGCGTTTTGGCGCCTCCTGGGATATGTTGGGCCGGAAGCTCGGAATTCGAGAGTGGCTTTCTCCTTCTGGGACCCCTCTCGAAGTCGTCTTGGGGTTCTCTTGGGCCGTCTTGGGGCCGTCCTGAGCCACTCGTGCGCAGCCTTGGAGCGCTCCCGGAGGCCTCCTAGGCCGTCTTGGAGGCCTCTTGGGCCGTCTTGGACGCGGTGAAAGCCCACGATGCGAACATGCGAAAAATATACGTTTTCCCCTAGGAATGGCACGATTTTCGTTTCTTGGACCTCTCTTGGGGGGCCTCTCGGAACGTCTTGGGGTGCTTTTGGGAGCCTTTTGGCGCCTCTTGGCGGCATTTTGGCGCCTCCTGGAGCCTCTTGGGCCGGAAGCTCGGAATTCGAGGTTGGCTTTCTCCGTCTGGGACCCCTCTCGAACTCGTCTTGGGGCTCTCTTCGGCCGTCTTGGGGCCGTCCTGGGCCACTCGTGCGCAGCCTTGGAGCGCTCCCGGAGGCCTCGTAGACCGTCTTGGGCGCCTCTTGGGCCGTCTTGGACGCGGTGAAAGCCCAAGAGGCGAACATGCGAAAAATATACGTTTTCCCATAGGAATGGCACGATTTTTGCTTCTTGGGCCTCTCTTGGGCTGCCTCTCGGAGCGTCTTGGAGGCTTCTGGGACCTTCTTGGTGTCATGACAGGCGTCTTGGAAGGCATCTGGAGCCATCGGAGCGCGTTCCGAAGCCGCCTGCGAACGATCTTGGACGGCGTCCGGCGGTCCGACGAGCCTCCGGGCCCCCCGGAGCCCACATTTGTGGTCGAGGTCCCGGCCCCGGGCCCCCGGACCCGGTGCGCCGTGTATATATATATATATATTATTATATATATATATTATAGATATATATATATATATATATATATATATATATATATATATATATATTATATATAAATATATGTGTATATATATATATATATATATGTTAGTGTGGACCCGTGGTTAAATCCACGGAGTTGAGCGGATCGAAGTTTTGTGGCGCGCGCTGGGTGGTACGACGCTTCGGTACTACTGCAGCAGATCCTTTGAAGCTTGTTCTGAAGGTGTTCTCCCACCGAAGGCGCCGAATCCAACGAGGCGGGCCGTCGGGGAGCCGCTAGGGATCTTTTTGGGGCCCCTTTGGGGGCCTCTCGGAGCACTCCTGGTCCGTGTAGGGCCCTCTCGGGGCCGCCTTGGGCGCCTCTTGGGCCGTCTTGGAGTCTCTTGGGGCCATGGTGGGCTGTCTTTGGCCCCTCTTGGGGTCCTCTTGGGCCGTCTTTGGCCCCTCTTGGGCCGTCCTGGGGCAGTCAGGAACCAGCTTGGAGCCCTGTTGGGGCCGTCGTGGGCGCGTCGAAAACGGAAAGAAAGAATGTGCAGAAAGTAACAATTTTACGAGGGGAGTGCTACGATGTTTGTGTGACGGGACCCAATTTGGGAGGCATCTTGGACCGTGTGAAGGCCGTCTTGGGCAGGCCCGGAACCTCGGGCAGCCGCGGGCAGGCTCGTCTGAAGTGTTCTGGGGCCGTTTGGAGGCTCTCTGGGGACCCGGGGCCACTAAGAAGTGTGTTGGAGCCGTTTGGGGCCGTTTGGGGGCTCTCGAGGGGGCCGCGGGGGCCAGGGCCACTAAGGTGTCATTCGAATTTATTTGAATGGATCTATACATATATATATATATATATATATATAGAACGTGAAATAACAGATGCTAGAAACCGCAGTCCTATAGCCGGACTTGGGACTCTCTTGAGCCTTGGACCACTTGAGCCTGACGTAAGAGAACCTAAGCGTATCCCCTTCTAACGTTGCCCCTGGGCCCCGGCGCTGAGGACAGCACAACCCACCCACCCCTTAGCAAGGACCCCCACTTCCAACCTGGTGCTCCAGGGTGTCCTTGCTGGGTGTGGAGGTGTTTTCTTGGCCTCCAGGAGCCCCCAATGAACACCTCCACCCCCAGCAAGGACCGCCTGGATCACCAGGCCGGGAGTGGGGCTCCTTGCTGGGGGTGGGGGTGGGTTGTCCTGTCCTCAATCCTTCCCCCTGTCGCTGCCCCTGACCTTCAGGGTCACTGCCTCGGCGGCGGCGAGGCGCAGCTGCTGGAGAGCACCCCGAGGCTGGAAAACCGCCGGAGACCAAAGAGAAGGCAAGAAAGCCTCGAACCTCGAGCCTATCTCCGCCGAGCGAGTTTCCACCCTGAGCCTGTCCCCCCCCCCGTATTGTTGCCCCTGGCCTTCAGCGTTAGCGCTCCTGCGGCGGCGGCCGCCCCCAGGTCGGTCTGCATCCGCTGCACGGCGGGCCCCACCGCGGAACACACAGTGCGGGCGTCTTCCAGCACGCCCCGCACGACGGCCTCCGCCTTGCGGTCGGCCTCCGCCGCCACGCGGGCGGCCTTGGAGCAGATGGAAGAGGAGGAGGAGGAGAAGGAGGAGGAGGAGGACAAGATGAGGAGGAGGAGGAGGAAGAGGAGGAGAAGGAGGAGGAGAAGGAGGAGGAGGAGAAGGAGGAGGAGGAGGAGGAGGCGGAGGAGGAGGAGGAGGAAGAGGAGGAGGAAAAGGAGGAGGAGGAGGAGGAGGAAGAAGGAGGAAGAGGAGGAGGAGAAGAAGGAGGAGGAGGAGAAAGAGGAGGAGGAGGAGGAGGAGGGGAAGGACGGCGAGGAGAAGAAGGAGAAGGGGGGCGAGGAGGAGGGGTCTCGGGGACGGACAGATGACGGCAGACGATGCGCTGCCTGGGTCAACATCTGTAGGGACGAGCCTGGAGCTTCGCACCAGAAAACTGAGAGGTGCCTCGAGAGAGGCCGGGTGTGTCCACGGCAATCGCTCCCGCTTCCCCTTACGAATGCCCAAAAGAACATGTTCCTAGGCCTTCGGAGCACAACCTGTTGAGTCTGACACTGTCTAGGGCTTCGGCAGAGTCGCGCGGCCAACGCAACGAGCAACTGCCGCGGCAACCTGCGCAAGGTATGGTGCGGCGGCAACTGTCAGCCGACCCACTCTGGCCATGCCGCCCTCCAGAGAGATGTGGCGCTGCCCCGCGCGAAAGCAGATACCCCTGGGACCCGAGCACTGACGGTGCACAGCAGGAGGAGGGGATAACTATCACATTCCAGCCCGCAGGCCTTTTCCTCCTCTTACAGGGCTTGCCGATATGAGAAAAGTCGTCACGCATTTGCGGAGTTGGAGGAGACTGGCCAGACTGGGCTTGGGCCAGGCCATGCTAGAGTGAAGATTCTCGACGATGGCTGGCAGCGCGGCTCGGATGAGGCGCGCCGTCGTCAGCAGCACGCGGCTACCGTGCAAACTACTGCGCGAGCGATCATCGGCAAGGTCGGGTTAACCGTGGATACAAGAGGCCGATCTGCAGTGGCCACCTGCTAGCCCTGGACCAGGTGCTGCAAGGGAAAGCATTGAGAATCCCACATGCGTGCCGAGAACCTATCCAGCCGCACAGCGTCTTGAATCCATGAGGGCAATTTACTTCGAACGCGATGTCATCTTTCGACCCTGAGGGCGCCGCGCAAACGTGCGGAGACTATTGCGACGCGGCGGCGAGGTGGCATGCCCTCATCGATTTGTCCGAGGTTATCCCGCGCGCAGCGTGGCGCCGCACTTCGAGGCCCCTGCCCCCGCTTGCCTCCGAGGGGCGCTGGCCCGCCCCGCCGGCGGGGGGTCTGGAAGCGCTGCTCGACCTTGCGAGCGCGCTGCAGCAGGGGGGCTCAAGGAGGGCCTACTCGGCGAGGTGGCGACTGCGGCGCTGGCACCTGCGCGCGCTCTTCGCGCGGAGGTGCCGCGGCCTCTCCTGGATCTGTTCGGGCGCCACCTCGCCCGCGAGAGCGCCGCAGGGCGCCGCGCCGCGCCTGAGCCGGCACGGCCTCACGCGGTCGACCCCAGCGAGGCGCGAGCGCTCCAGGAAGACCCGGCGAAGCTAGGCCGCGTCAAAACCGGCGGCCGCGGTCGCCGGCTGCCCTAGCGGCTAGGGCCACTTCGGCTAGGGCCTAGCCGAAGTGGCCGACCTTCCTGGCGCAGGCGGCCTCCGGCGGGAATGGGGGGGGCGGCCTGGTCGCGTCGCTCGGCGGCCTGGCGGGCGGCCGCCTCGGCGTCGCGCCGGGCGCTGCGTGGATTCAAGCCGGGGCCCGGCCCGACCGCGCCCTGGAGCCGACATGGGCGGTCGGAAGGGTTCAGCTCTGACGCGGCCCATCTGACTGCGCTGCGACACTCAAGTTCCCCAAGAGGCCGAAGGCAATGATTTCGCGGCAAATCCGCAAGAGGTGCGATGGCGATGACTTTCCTTTCCCGAGTGCCAGGGCCGCGCAGCACTACTGATCGCTGGCCTCGGGCGCCGACGCGCCGAAGATGGGGTCTCACAACTACGATCGCAATGCGGCCCTCGTCCCACATGATGTCCTTGAAGGCGCCAACGGCCTCTCGCTTTCAGCTTCCGGTCGGCCAAGTCGCCCGCGTCGTCGGCCGTCGCCGCCATGAAGTCTGGGCGACCGCGCGAGGGGCCTCCGCGCGCCCGGCAGCGATGGCGCCCGTGGCGCAGCAATTACCTCCACCATTCTGCTCTGCCGGCAAGGCGCGAGGCGACGCCTGCATCGCAGCCCTGGCCCGCGACCCCGTCCCCGCCGGCGTCGACGCCCGAGGTGCCCGAGGGGCCCGCGGCATAGATGCTGGGCCTGGTCGGCCAATTCGGGCCCACGACGCAGAAGCGCGCGAGGGCCGCGGCGCGACGCAGCTCCAGCGCGACGCTGGGCCACGCGCGCCAGCGGCGGGCCCCCGCGCGGTCGGCGAAGCGGCGCGCGGTCGAAGATCGCCGGCAGCTCCCGACGCACGAGCGACGCCCAGGTGAAGTGGCCCACCGGCCGCCGCAAGTCGTCGCGTGAGATGAACCTCTGGTCCGCCCCGCACAGCAGCTGGCGCCTCAGGCGCCGGAGCTGGTCGCTTCCGAGCGACACTCTGCCGCCCTCGACGTCGAGCCGCAGCCCGGCGAACATCTGCGCGCCACCCAAACGCCCTTGCAGACGAGCCCGGGCGCCGCCAGGAGCCCAGGACATCCTGGCAATGTTGGTCCGCGACGACGGCTTCGGCGCGCGGGAGCGCGACCCCGTCGACGTAGACGGCCGCCGCTGGCCCAGGGCGCGCCCGGCGTCGGCGGCGGTCCTTGGCGACGCAGTCCTCGGAGAAGCCCGCGCGCCTCGCGGCTGTCTCCGCCGCCGCCCGGCAGAAGCGCGGGCCCTAGGCCCACCCCATCGGCAGCGCGCGGAGGCAGCCGGAAATCCGATCGCCCTCTTGGGGCGCGAGACCAGGCCGCGCCGCCGGCACGGCCCGCCAGCTGACCGCCGGGAGCGCCAACCGCAGGCTCAGCCCCGGGGGGGAACCAGATCCTGCAGCGGGCGTTGTCGACATTTCATTGTGACGGTAAAAGCTGAGCATCCCAGTTCAAGATGAGACCGTTCCAAACCCCCGCGGCGGGGAGCCGTGCGTGCCCAGGGTCGACGAACACGTGGTTGCCCGCTCGGGTATCAAATCTCAAGCGCTGCCTGTCTCTGTCCGGTTTCAACGCGAAAAACAGCCCCACGGCGGCCGACCGCTCCGGCCCGAAGCACAGGGGGGTTGGAGTCGAGGAGGTCCAACAGAATAGAAACAAGGGTCGACTGCGAGCGCGCCAACTTTGGGCCCGAAAAGGGCTTGACCCGATCCTCGCAAATGTCCAGTGCTGGTCGCGTCAGCCTGTCCTGCCAGCCCAACCGTTCTTCACGTGCAACGCCCAGTAGAGACAGGCCGTCGTAGGAGCCGTCGTCCCAAACGGGGAGCGAGTCCTTGTCCCGCTGGAAGGGCGCACGTATCTCTGGCTTCTCGTGATAGCCGGGCAATAGGGTGGGGGCGATGCAGGGTGGGCCGATAGCGTAGATCGGGTCCTTCGCGTGCTTCGCACCAGCAGACTGCGCACATGACAAAAACTTGTCGCTCCTTTGCGGCCCGTGTCCGTAGAGGCCGTTAAGCGCATCGTGCACCTCGCGCTCCCAGTCGCGGGCGAACTCGGCTTGCGGGCCACCGCCATCACCTGCCCCTGTGCCCGCGTCCGCCGCCTTTGGCTGGGTCGGGCTGGTCATCTGCCGACTTGTCGCCAAGGTGCGCCTGCGGGCGCCTGATCTCATCAGCCTGGTTCCTGTTCTTGGCCTCGAGGGCGCCAGTGGCGCTGCTGCTCACTCCGTCGCCGCCGGGGTCATGGGCGGTGGCCCTTTCCTCGCGGAGCTTGCGGCACTCCTTGAGGATGGAGGCCTGCTTGTGGAGCTCCTCCGTGATGTGTCGCTGCAAGTCGGGGGCCACCATGGGCAGCCCCCTCGCGTCGGCCGTCCTAATTTAGAGGCACCCGTCCTCCACGACGTCCACGTCCGCGTTCGTCCCGGCGACGAGGTGGCGGCACCTCCACTCCGCCATCTGCGCGCGGCGGGCCAGGCACTCGAAGCCCAACTCTGAGACCATCAGCTGGTGGCACACCACGGCCACCTCGAACATCCTCGTCGCCAACTCGTGGTCGGAGCCAGGCACCGCTTGACCGTTCTGGGCCCGCAGATGGGCCAGTGACCCCACTGCGACTCTTGGAGGACTTCACCGCGTCGCGGAAGACTCTCTTCCCGTCGCCCGAGGGGTCTCGAGCACAGGAATCACCCTGGCTTCCAGGTCGGCCCCTCCGTCCCCGGCCGTCTTGGAGTCGAACGTCCTGACTGCCGCCAATCTTGGCGATGCCTTAGTCCCCGATGACGGCCCAGCAGTCAACGCGGTAGTCATCCAGCACCTTGTAGCCCAGCGTGCCATCGGACGCACAGACCACCTGCCAGACGCGAGGCTGAGGGTTGATGAGCGCGCCGATGCCTGTTTTAATCTCCAGAGGAACCGTCGGAGCCGCTGAAGGTGAGGTCGTCGCCACTGTAAGACTGTTTGTCGCCGCTGCCGCTCCCCCTGCCGCTTGCCACGCAGCCTCCTCGGTGGTGGGTTCGGGTCGGCGGAGTTGCCTACCGCGGCACACCTGATACGGTGGGGGCATTGGGTAAGGCACTCTTAGATAAGGAATCCAGGGTCTGGAGCCCTGTGGAACTCCAATTGAGGCTTGGCAGTGGATATCAACGCCGCCCTCATCAAATAAGGAACCCTCCAGGGTCTGAAGCCTGCCTGGCACATTCCTTAACCAACGCCCCCACCGTAGCCTGACGGAGTTCGACGGGAGAGGGAGCCAGTCCTCCCCGGACGTCCTCGCGCGCCTGGACCACCAGCGTCCCCCGGATGCCGCTGACACGAAGAGGTCCGTCGAATCGGCGCGGCAGCGGCCCGCCAACGGGGGCGCCGCGGGGAGATGGGCGCAGATGTCCCCGTCGGGCGTCAGGACGAACCAAGTCCGCTGCTGGGCTTCGTGGTCGTCGGTGCTGCCGATCTCCATCACCTCGGCGAGGTCGCCAGCGGTCGCCGGCGTGAGCAGCACCCTCACCCGCCACTCCTCGCCGTCGCTCCAGAGGGCGGGCGCCCGCTCTCGAGCGCGGCAAGGGCAGGGGCAGCCATCGACCGCAGCACAACTATACCCCTAAGAGGGTCCCTGTCGAGCCCACGATCACAACGAGGCCCTCCACGCCGCCACGGATGTTCGCGGCGAAGAAACACTGGCTGGCTACGCTAATCACGGGCCCAGCTCCAGCCCAGAGCGATGGCAGCCACGAGACAACAGTCACGAAGGAGTTCGCAAACAGGGGCATGCGCTCTGCCGCAGGCTTGAGCCTAGATCGGAGGGTGCTATGCACAGCGGCCAGCCCTCTCCCCCATGCCATGGCGTGCGTGCACCGAGAAGGCAGAGGGAAAGCAGGAGGGTCATGTGAAGGGATCAATGGACCAGAAAACAAACGACAGACGACACCACCCATCTACGGCCCCACGGGCCGTAGCGTATACCAGGACATCTGGCGTGGATGTTTGCATGGTATAACGCTGCGGCCCCCGATGGGCCGTAGCCCAGCATGGAGGGCCGTAGGCGGGGTGGTGTCGTTTGTTTCTTGGCCGAATCAATAGCGACATTGTCACACACCCGCCCGTCCCGTCCCAAGCCCAAGGCTCCTCATGCAGGTTTTCCGTGTCACAACAAGACGAACCCTCGAAGACGATCGACCGTTGGGCGTCACATGCGGTCAGAAACCCTGTGCTCATACGTAACCGACCGCTCTACACTGTTTTGTCCAAACCATTACCCCATGTGTCTGGATGGCGCCAACGCAACGGCAATGATCCGGCAGAGTGCGCGGCCGACGCAACCGGCCCACCATGCACGACTGCTCGAGTTCGGCGTGGATGCCAAGGCGACACTTGATGGGCCTGTTTTCCACCACCACCACCATAAGTTGGAGGTGGAGGGGGTCCTCCTCCTCCTCCTCCTCCTCCTCCTCGTCCTCCTCCTCCTCGTCCTCCACTCTCCTTCCCCCCCTCCAACTTATGGTGGTGGTGGTGGAAAACAGGCCCATCAGACACCAGCGCGCCCGTGGCGGGAGACAACTCGTGCCGGGTCGAACACGCGCCCTGCGATGGGGGCCGCCCTCCGTCCCCGGGAGCTGCCGCGAACACCGCCGACCCACACTGGGATCAGGGCCTGAACCTGCTCGAGGCGATGGCTCTTTCCGACCAGCAGCCGCCCTGCGTCGGTGCAACCAACGCTTTCGGGGAGCCGACGCCGATGACTTACCAGGCGAGATCCCAATGTTGGGGAATGAGCCGTCCTCCGTCCGTCCAGCTGTTGCGAGTGTTTGCGCCGAGCGTGCGCGGCGCTACCGCGCGAGCCACGTTTTAGAAGCGGGCCGCCCTACACCCGTGCACTTTTTACTGCAAGCTTTCTGACCGACTGTGTGCGGCGCGAGAGAGACAGAGAGAGAGAGAGCGAGAGGTGATGCAAAACGACTTGGAGGTCTCGAGCTGCAGTACCAGAAGCTGCAAGGGGTGTCAGCCGGCACGCCCAGCCCGGCCCGCCCTGGTGACTGGTGGTGCGACGAGGAGCACCTGCTCATAAGTCATGCACCTGTAAAGAGAGGGTGGAGAGGGAGGAGCCCTCCGGACATTGTAGACCTTGCTCTGAGCCCCCGGAAGCCCCCAGAGGCCTCTGTGGACCTCCTGGGGCGCCCACGGACCTCCAGCCTGGGGAGACCTTCCTCGGAGACCCCTGGAGAGGGGGAGAAGAAAGCGCTCGGCCTCTGCCTTGCGCTCGGCGTCCGCCTTGAGCTCGGCCTCCGCCGCGCGCACGGCCTCCACCTTGCGCTCGGCCTCCGCCGCGCCTGTGGCCTCCGCCGCCCTGCGCTCGGCTTCGGCCGCCTCGTGGCCGGCCTTGGCTGGAGGGGGATAAGGGAGAGGACGGGAAAGGAGGATAATGATGAGGAGAAGGAGGAGGAGGACAAGGATAAGGAGGAGGAGGAGGAGGAGGAGGAGGATTTCTTGTTGACATTCGCATGGAGGAGCAGGAGGAAGGAGGAGGGAGGAGAAGGCGGAAGGAGGGGGGAGGAGGAAGGAGGGAGGAGGACGGAGAGGAGGGAGGGAGGCAGGAGGAGGGAGGAGTGAGCAAGGAGGACGAGGAGGTAGAAGGAAGGAGGAAGGAGGGAGGAGGAGGAGGGAAGGAGGAGGAGGAGGAAGGAAGGAGGGGGCGCCGCGCTCGGCCTGTGCCGCGCGCTCGGCCTGTGCCGCGCGCTCAAGGAGAGCCTGCGGCGCTGCGGCGGCTGCCTCCGCCCAGGCGTCGGACTCGGACTCGGTCTCCTCTCGCAGAGGAGCAGACAACGACACCCACACATAAACCCACACACACACACGCACACAAACACACACACACACACACACACACACACACGCACACGCACAAACACACACACACAGAGAGACACACACGCACACACACACATATACACACGCACACACACACACGCGTCCACACGAACGCACATACAGACACACACACACACACACACGCACAGACAGACAGACAGACAGACAGACAGACAGACAGACAGACAGACAGACAGACAGACAGACAGACAGACAGACAGAGACAGAGACAGAAAGACAGACAGACAGACGTACAGACAGAGAGAGAGAGAGAGAGAGAGAGAGACAGACAGACAGACAGACAGACAGACAGACAGACAGACAGACAGACAGACAGACAGACAGAGAGACAGAGAGACAGAGAGACAGAGAGACAGAGAGACAGAGAGACAGAGAGACAGAGAGACAGAGAGACAGAGAGACAGACAGACAGACAGACAGACAGACAGACAGACAGACAGACAGACAGACAGGCAGGCAGACAGACAGACAGACAGACACCTTAGGAGTAACCCAGTGGGAACGACCGGTCGCTGGCGTCCATCGCAGCCGCAGCCCTTGCCGACGGCGCCGACCGTGCCGATGGGATGGCCCCCGCGAGACTGGGCCAGCAGCAGGGTCGGCTCTGCACCCAGCCGGCACGCACAGCACCGACGCACATGTTCATGTGGTCCGGTTGCACGCAGCAGCCACGACAACCATCGGCACCTGCGCCAGCGAGCTCCTCACTACAGTCGGGGCGTTGACCTAAGGAACCCTAAATAAGGAACGAGGCCCCTTTTTTCCATAAGTTAATCTTCGATTTCCGATCGAAAAATTAAGGAAAACCTGAGGCAAGCTGTAGAACAATCAAGGAACACCGAGCCCCTCCCCAACGAAAAGGGTTCCTTCTGCAGGGCCCCGGCTGTATCTGCGGTTCGAGCACGGCCCGCACGGCAGCTTTGCAGGCGGCGGCCGTGCAGCTCGCGGCCCAAGATTGCCCGGCCGCGGCGGGAGCTACACTCGGGCTGGCCTTCATCCTTGCGGAGGGCCAGGCCGATCCCCCTCGCCTGGAGAGGTTTGCGGAGTGCGGGGGGCAACGTGCACACGTACTACCAGGGGGACCCTGGCGCCTTCGGACTCTTTCTGGCGGCGCACCCAGCGGCAACCCAAGCGCTCCCGGTGTGGTGCCAGGCGCGTTCGTCGGCTACCTCGATGCCAGCCGCCCCAGCGATAGCCAAGAACGGAGTGCCCGCCGCTCCCGCGGTGCAGCCTTCGGGTGGGTCCTTGTGGGATGGTGCGGGCCCGAGCGGCTGCGCGCAGGTGGCCGGGCTTGGAGGGCTGGGCCCCATGAGGCAGCGGCCGCAGATGCGCAGGGTCGAGAGGTGGCTCGAGACCGACTTCGCGGACCTCCGCGCGAAGTGCCCGCCCATTGGCCCGAAGGCGCTGATCAAGAACATGGCCTCCATGGCTCAGTGGCCGTGCAGCCGCCCCCCCCCTGGCACGCCCATCCTCCAGTTTACCCCGCCTGGGGGCTGGGGGGCGGGCCTGAGGGAGAAGAGCAAATGGCTCTGGTGGAGCGCTTTCTTAGCCAAGATAGGGTCCTTCGTCAAAGAGATGTGCATGTACACCGCGTTCGCGGCTGCCGTGAACGCCAGCGCCGGCGTGGGCACCCCCAGCCATGAGGCTGTCCACACCCCGCTCGGCACCCAGATTTTTGTTTTGTTCCCCAACGGACGAGCCACCAACATGATGCCTCCACCTGCGAGAACTGCACACCACTGCAGCCACACTGCGCCGCAGCGTGAGACGGAGGAGCGGATGGAGGGCGTCGGGATTGCTCGACACCGCTCGGCACCCTGATATGGATGCACCGGGATCGGCGCACCGCTACGCCAGGCGGCGGGGCGGACCTCATGGGGAGGCTCGCTCTCGGCTTCCCCGCCTACGACGTCGCGGCGGTTCTGAAGGGCTTCCACCGCGGCCGGAGATGCCCAAGCAGCCGGCGGACGTGCTAGGGCCGCAGCCGTGAGGCGTCCTTGGTGAGGCCCAGGTGCAGCGCCATTCGGCCTATCAGTTTGCCCCCTCCTCTGTTTCTCTTCCTCCGTTTCGCTCCTTCCCCGGCCCGGTTGGATCACTTCAAGCACGCAACTTTTAATGCGCTTGATCGTGCGCCTCGGGCACACCATTTGCGGCATGGTCCTCCACGTTCGTCCCGTTTGCGCGGAACTCGTTTCGCGTTCTTTCCGTCAGCGCTGCGTGGGAAACATGTCTCTCTCCGTCCCTTTCTCCCGTTGGTTGGTTCCTCATGCGCCGTCCCACACGCATGCACCCGATTCTGCATGCGTTACGCCGTGCGGAGTGTCATACCGCTGGCTGAATTGTTGTTGGGGGGCGGCCCAGTTTTGGAGCATGCCGGCCCATCTTCGGCGGGGAGGCCCAGTTTTGAGGCATGCTCGCCCTTCATCGGCGACATCTTGTCAGGCCCTCCTCCCTTCCTCTCCCTCTTTCCCCTCCTGCTTGCTGTTTTGCGGTTCCTTGTCCCCGCGGTCTCGTGGGCGATGGCAAGCAGGCGGACAAGCCTAGGACGCCGGTGGGGGTGTCCTTGCCGTGAGTCGAAGTGGACAGTTCACGCTGTTGCAGGCGTTGCAGACCTATGCCAACGCCGCCCAGGGGCATGCTACCAAGCTGGCGGAATTTCGCGTTGGCAGTCCTATCCTGTCTCCCCTTCATTGGTCTCCAACGCAGGATCTTCGTGCCGTGCCCAGCCGCAGGAAGCATACGGCCACAGCGCCAAGGCCGGCAGAGGCTTCATTTTCGGCCCTCCCGTGCTCCTCTCTCCTGCTTCCCCCATATCCGAGGGCCGGAATCGTATGGCCGCCGCAGTGCGGAGCGTCTCGAGCCATCCTCTGCAATCACAGACGCGCTACTATAATGGTGGCGTCCCTCGTTTGGTTATCCCTTCCTGCTCAATCCAGTTTGCCTCCCGCGCGGAGGCCAGCCGCGGCTGCCCGGCAGCAGCCTGGCAGGCGCTGCTGCCCCTCTCTCTCCTCCTCCCCCTTCTCCTCCTCCGAATCGAATCTGGGAGGTCTCGGGCGCAGCCTGATACCATCGGCCACCCACCAGGCCTCCACTGTGCAGGGTCCAGGCAGCGACTCTCTGGCTGACAGGCTCAACTCGTTCTGCTGTTCACCGCATAGACTTGCCTATTGCAGGTCGGCTTGCGTGGGGCGCAGTCTCCAGCCCCAGCCTGTGGCTCTTGTATTCTCTTCGAGTCCACATCTGACGGGAGCGTTGTTCCGTCCCCCGTCTTTTCTCCTCTGCTCCTGTCTCCTCCTCCTCCTCCTCCTCCTCCTCCTTCCTTCCTCCTCCTCCTCCTCCTCCCCCTCCTGGTCCTTCCCACGCTGGCAGGACAGGGCGTCATCAGAAACACCCGTCCCTCGAGATTGCTGCGACCGCACTGGCAGGACAGAGTGTCCTCATGAGCGCCAGTCCCGCGGTACAGATTTAAGTGCTTGGTTTTTTCCTGGGGAACACGGCAGCGTTCTGGTACGATATGCCGCCCATGTAGAAGCCGTGCTAGCGCTCACGGTGCCGAGGCTATTGCAGCCTCGCCTTCCTTCCCCACCTTGCCATCTCGCCGTCCTGCGCATGCCAGTGGGAATGCAGTCGCCTGCATGGAAAAAATGCGTGCCAGCCGACTTCTTCTCCCCTTCCCGCTTCCCTCCCTCCTCCCCTGGCCCCGTACACACCCGTGCGCACACAAGCATCCAATTGCCTGTTATATGGTGTGCTGTTGCCCGTGGTGATGTGCAGGGCCGGGCCACGCTATGCGGTGGTGCTTGTCTGGGCGTGCGTATTGCTATGCCGCCACACGCCCGCACGCATGCAACTCTCTGTTCGTGTAATCGCAGGCGTGCCTCGGCCACGGATGACACGGACGAGCCTGCGGTGACCTCCGTAGGAACAGTCCCAGGCGACAGCGCGAACGGTGTCGAGGTCGACTAGCTCTCGGCCGGTCGGGTGCAGGGTTCGGTGGCGCAGCGCACTGAACACACCATGTCGTTGACGATGGAGTAACTGCTGTGGCATTTTTTCGCCGTGGAACTGGTGGCAATGCCACATCTCCTATGCGTCCGGTGCAAACCCCCTCGACGCCGGGTCCGACGTCGCGTGCGGCTTCGGAGGTGGGGTTCCGTGCCTGGCCAACTTCCATGGCCTACGCTTCGACCTGGTGCGACCCGAGCTGCACACACTGGCTCTTCTCTCCCCCCTTCCCCCCCCCTCGGCCTTCCCTCCTTCTGGCCTGTCCCCCTCCTCTCCTCCCTCGGCCTTCCCTCCTACTGGCCTGTCCCCCTCTCTCCTCCCTCCCCCTTCCTCCCCTCCCTTCCCCTCCTCCCTTTCAGGTGTGATGGCATGGCCGTGGCTGGTGTGCTGCACCTCTTCGTGGCCCCTCGCCCCTCCTCCCCTTTCACGCACGCACACATGTGTGGCCCAAACACGCTCTCTCACCCACCCGCTTTCCCACAGGCTATTGTAAGCCTTGTGCGGAGTCGCGCGGTGCAGGTGCCGCCCCATCGCGCCACTCGGAACGGGCTGGTCCACCCACCAAAACCGCCAGCGGCAACCACCAAGGTGGCGTGTGTTGCTCGCAAGTCGCGTGAGTGTCGGTTTGCCCAGTGCCGAGAAGGCGCCGGTCCAGGCGGATGGGTGCGACAAGAGCAGCGTGCGATGTCTGTGTTGTTTGGCGTTACGAGGATGCAGTGGACCGTGCACCACCCACGTGACTCCCCCTCATCCACTGCAGCCGGCATCGCTTGCCGTGGCGTGCAGCCTGTTATGAGACGGTGCGAGGACACGGTGTCTCCACTATGGGCGGGCAACGAACGAACGAACACACTCACATACACACATACACACGCGAACACACACACACACACACACACACACATACACACAGACGCACACACACACACACGAACACACACACACACATGCGCGCACACACACTTTTTGACGTCACGGCCTCGCGGGCAACGTCGAGGCGTAGCAGGTCCGAGAGCAAGCGGGAAACGCTCGCAGCCGGCCCACTCAAAGCAAGGGAGCACTCACACATGCACGCACACTCACACATACACACGCACGCACGCACGCACGCACGCACGCACGCACGCACGCACGCACGCACGCACGCACGCACGCACGCACGCACGCACGCACACACACACACACACACACACACACACACACACACACACACACACACACACACACACACACACACACACACACACACACTTTTTCCGTCGGCGGCTAGGCAGAGTCACTGCGCTGACGATGGGGCGTAAGTGGGATGCATGAAATGCGAATTATGCCACAATGCATGGGGGAGGGAGGAGGAAGCCCGGCGCGGGCAAGAAGAGACGGAAGCCGTGCCCGCTCAGAGGGGGCCAGGCGGCGGCGGAGGGGGCGCCGGGGGCGGGGCCAGCGGCGACGAGGCGGCGGCTGGGGGTAGGGAGGCCAGACGGCCGCCGGAGGCAGGCGCCCATGCAGGGGGGGGGGGGGGGGGGGGGAATCCCGCGGGCTGGAGACGAAGCGTGGCAGAGCGAAGCACAGGGAAGCCGAGGTCACGAAGACCCTGAGGCTACCCGACAGGGAGGGCAAGTGCGGGACCACCTCGAAGGGAGGGGTCGGCCTGAAAGCCAGGCAAGGCAACGTAGTGGAAGAGGCCGACACAGCAGACAGACCATACAGGACAGTCCGGCTGGCGAGCACCAGAGACGCCGAGGCCGCGGGTGACCTGCGAGGCATCGGTGTGGCGCGCCAGTCGCCGTGAGGGGCGCTGGACAGGGCGGGCGGCCTGGGAAGGGACGGCGGAAGCGCCACAAGGGAGCGAGGCCAGTGGAGGCGACGAGCCGGGAGGAGCCGAGGTCACGGGTGACCTGCAAAGCCACCCCCGGAGAAGCCGCGCGGGGGCCGCGGCGGACCGAAGACGGCCAGCGGCCGGGAGAAGCAAAGCGGGCGGGACACGGGGCGAGGGCGGCAGGGGAGGCAAGCTGGAAGATGGACGCCGGGAGGGCCGAGGTCGCGGGTGACCTGCGAGGCCCTGGACTGACGTGCGTCGAACCGACCAGCCATGTACTGGAACGGTCGGGGGGCGTCCCCAGGCATCGCGGGAGCGGCAGACACACGCACACACACACACGCACGCACGCACGCACGCACGCACACACACACACACACCGTGATGAGAATTGAAAGCCCAGAACAATCCAAGCTGAATGCCAGAGTGCCTAAGACCACTAAAGATCCCAAGAGCAAGCCCAAGACATCAACCTCGGAAAGCCGAAAGGCTAGTACAGTAGGCTGCAATATATATGTGTATGTTTTTGTCAAGGCGAGCCCTGGGTGCGTTTCCTGAGCGGCTCCTGCAAAACGCACTCCCGCCGTCACTCGACGGGCCTCGAGAGATGTGGCAGCGGCAGCAATAACAATGGGAGGACAAGGCAAAGCAAGCTGGCTGAAACGGTGCTGGTGTGGACGCTGGCGCGCTCCCTCTCTGGGCCTCGCGCCCGCGGAGGCGATATTAGAATCAATATCAAATGTGAGAAAGAGCACAAGCACACACACACAGCCTCCCTATACAGGTAGATGGGCGGGTAAAACACAAGCATCAAAATCAGAAAAGGGAGTCTGACTTATCACATGATTGCGTCGCTCCGCGGCCTTCCTGCAGGCCCAAGTTAAACGCACCAGCGAAACAAGAGAGACGCTAGGTTGCCAACAATGGGCCTCGCTGCGAGCTTTGTCAAACGTGCCAGGAGGATGCTACCAAGACTGAGCATACCTGGCCACAAAGTTATGCCTGCTATCACATCAAGGCCATTCCCCTGGCCTTCAAGAGACAAGCTACCATCGTCTGCGGCTAAACCACCAGGGAAGAAGGAGGGGAACATGGGTGCCAGAAAGCGTGCGCCGATCCAGTGTCCGATAAAGGACGGCAGGACATGTGACATGGCGTGGCTAATTCCCTCAAAGATAGTGGTGAGCCATATTCTGAAATTAAAGACAAATATCGCTGCTTGCACGGCGCACCATAAGCACACGAGCGTGCAAAGGGAGACGATGAAGCCAGAGAGGGAGGACAAGGAGTTGGGAAAAAGATAGGATAAGCATGTGCGTGCACAACTCATGAGCTCACGACCCGAAGACGTCGCCGAGACAACAGCTCCCCAAGAAGACAAGGCCTGGACCTGGGCACAGGTATCAGCAGACTCTAAAGCTTCGTGGTGAGGAGCTCATGCTGCGGGGGGCGCCTGCTGCATGGCGGTGTTCGCCCACTCCCCATCCTCGTCAAGAAACTGAAACAAGAGCGTGCCCATGGCGGCCAAGTCTTTGCCATCCACCTGCGCCTCGCTGGCTCCGAGCGACTTGAGTTTGCGACGCCACTGGTCGAGTCCTTTCTTCTTGCCAATCTCCGTCCACCAAGCCAAGTATGGAAGGCCACCCTCGGGAATCGTCGCAGCCCACTGCGATACATCAGCTCGATCCTTCGACACGCCAAGAAGCGACAACGCGGTCTCGTGCATCTGCTTGGTCATCATGGGGTTCATGACGGGGCCATTCTCGTGGACTGCGGGAACACCCTGATCTGCTCCTTTGCCGAGACCTTTGGGACCAGGAGCGTTCCAACTGCCTTTGCCACCGTTGCCGCCTAAGCTACCCTCGAGCAAGTTACGAAGCGCACGTACATCATCTGAGGTGGTGGATGTCGACTGCTGGATGCTGGCAAGCTGATCGCCGTGATTTTTGATATGTCCCTGCATCTCTGCGAGCTCAGCCTTCATCTTCTTAATCACTGGGTTATCCTCCAAGCGCTGACCATTGCCTGTGTCCAAGCCTGCGGCCTCATGGAGGCGCTTGATGGTCGCCTGCAGCTTGCTGTCTGAGCCCTGCGCGCCGCCCATGACGTCCGAGAGGGCTATCGCAAGGTCGCGCGCGGGCTGGTTGACCGAGGCCATCCCTGGGACGTGCTGGTGCTGGTGCTGTGGCTGCTGGACCTGCTGCTGCTGCTGCCGCTGCTGAGTAAGGTTGTTGCCAATACCATTGTCAGCCTGTGCGATGATCTGGCTGATACGGCCCATCTCACCGAAGGCCCGCATGCCGTCGATCATACCACTCCACTGACCAAGCATGGAAGAAAGGCCGTTGCCGCCACCGTTGCCGCCGTAACCCTTGCCGCCGCCGTAGTACTGAGTGTAACCTTTGCCACCGCTGTACCAGTCACCTCCAGCGCCGGCCTTGGCAGCCCCGGTTTTGCCACCAGACGGATGGCCCATCTCCTGAGACCGTCGAGAGAAAGGAGGTAGTTGTACACGCTCGTACAAGAGGTCACTGACGCGGTCTAACTGAGACGATATGGCTGCGGCAGACGGGATGAGATGAGAACAGGTACGCTGGACCAAGTCGAGGCAAAGGTTTACGAGGTCGTTCTTCTCACCTTCGGGGTATATCTGGCGCCAAACCCGACGAGCGATTTTACTGGGATAACCTGAACGATACATGAAGGCCATGTCGATGGAGATAATGATTATAAAGTCGATGGTATCTGGTCGAAGTCGCTCCCAATTATGAATACGCCCTCGAAGCTCGGATCGAAGCTGTCCTAGTTCACGACGGCTGAGACGACCAAGGTAGGGAATCATGTTCTGTTTTTTGAGCTTGGTTAAGTCCCCGCTTAGAACGTACTCTTCATTCTTGTGTTGTGGTATATATCGAATGCCGTCAAAGCCCCAAACCACTAGAGCGTCAAGATATCGGAAGAGGACCGTTGTCTCAAACTGTTCAAACCCATGATCAAGTTCAAAAACCACAGCTTTTTTATATATCAAACTCATTTGCCGCCAAAGACACGATCTACAGACACGATAAGAGAGCAGAACCGTATCGTCAACATATCGACCTGATGCTACTTCAGAAGATCTTCTGGAGGTAGTCGGACGGGGCCTAGGATTCTCATCATACAAATACTCAAGATAACAAAGTACCAAGTGTAAAATGGCGCCCGATAGAGGTCCACCAATGGGTATCCCAGAGAGCTGAGCAAGAGCAAGGCCTGAGAGGACGAAGTATCGAAACCCCAAGAAGCCCTCGATTGCCCTTTTGAGGCTCTGGAAAACGAAGACCGTCCTATCCCAATGCCGCACACCGAGCTTGCCTCCCAAGACTACCTGGGACGTGGATGTGTGCATGACAGACAACGTACGTGTGGTGAGCTTCTGCGCGGCACGATCAAACAAGGAATCCACAGCCAGGCGAATATCCTGAGGCGCCAATGCCTCATACGCCTGTCCAGCGTCGGCAACAACAAATCCTGGATGATCCATGCACTTGCGGCAACGCACACATACACACTGCTGCGTGCCAGGGAGACAGTACGGAGGTGCCAGAAGTCCTACAGCAACATCTAGCTCTTCGAATGCCGAGTCGAGACCTTTGAAACTCCAGCCTGGGAATATGAGGTTGGTTAGAAACGCGATGCCCCTGGAGATCTGATATAAACGTCGTCCTGGAAGCCGATAAAAACTGCAAATGTTACGTAGACATGAGTGCCCTGGTTTTTGGCAGATCTGTTCACCCGTGTCCTGGAAGCACTTACGTTTCACAGTAGGATAGCAGTATGGTAAATGACGATAACTTATACACCGTTGATTAGGAGGCCGTAGGCTTTTTGGGACGCTGAAATCACACGTGAACCTGTACCACTGTAGTATATGTGTATGTGGTAGGACATTTAGACGCCATCTTTCATGCGCATGTGATATGAGCCCAAGCCACTCATCTGCATGTGCCTGACGCTAGTCCCCCAGAGCGTGCGTGGATCCTTATCCTCAACAGTGAACGTGACAAACTTTTTTGCGTAATCAAGTGCTGTGCACAATCTACCAAGTGCCTGCAACTGTAATGTCGTGGTTGAAGCTGGCGTCGGTGCTGGGGTCGTGCTGACCACAGCCGGGAGAAAACGCAGAAAAGCGCCGTCCAGTCCTGAACGGCTAAGCCACACAGCACACTGACTGTAGGCGTTGAAGGATAGATTTCCAACGTCACTGTAAAGCCATGGGAGTCGACCACTGACAAGGATACGAAAAAGATCTGACCCGTGCGACGCGATCTGTAAGTCGTCGGCAGTGACAGTTTTGAGGAGCTCTACTGGTGATCTCTCAAGGTCCTGATACATACACATGCAATGTTTTTGCAGCGTCTTCCGTGCTGAAACTGTGATGCGAATCTGGCGTCGTACCAAAAGTGTCCACGCAGGCCTGGATGTCGAAGCCTGGTCAAGAACAACCTTGAGCCACCTACGTACTACTGGTACATCATTGTCACGTTCCACAAGGATGCTAGCGCCTCCTGGCCGTGGGAGTCCGTGAAGAGTTAAGTGAGAAGCAATTGCCGCCTGCACAATCGATTTCTCCCGCCACAAGGGAAAAACCGTACACAAGCCCCAGAGAGTGTATAGGTAATCTGAATTGCCGTCCTTAGATGCAAGAACATGTTGCCAAATAATCTGCGAAGGCTTCCAAGCGCAGAAACGTATGAGGAGGATCGCACAACGTGGATCGTAGATTGTGATGGGACCAAAGCTGTGCGTCTGCATAACATGTCGGCGCATGAAGAAGTCGTATACACTATAAAAATGTCCACGTAAAACTGTTGCCCATTCCCGTGTACGTTCACGCTTACGAGTGTGTCTAAGATGAAACTCACGAAGTGCTCGAAATCGTGCTTGCTGCCAAAGATCCTGTGATTGAAGCTCGTCGGGGCCCCGAGGGAGGTGTAGGTGCCGTTGTGTTCGAGACCTTCTTTGCCTGGGGGGTTTACCTGTCTGAGAGCGCGTGGAGGTCCTGAGGGGGCCCAGACTTATGGAGTCGTTGTTATATTTGCTGGTGTTGTTAGCCTCGGGCGTAGCATAGGCTATGTATGAGGACTCCACTGCATTTATGGCCAACGACGGGGCTACCTCCAGGAATATGATGGATATGGTATGCTGGTGATGTGCGCTCAATAGAGCAAGATAACGTGCACGGTTAGCAAGCGGCTTACCCGAAGCACACAATCTGAGAGACTTAAAGTGTTCACGTGCTCGTGCGATACCTCCTGCATGTGCGCCTGTACTTCTATGTATGCGCCCCTGTCCAATATACCTGGCGTACGAGCCTACCTGGTAGATGAACGAGGATGTACGAGGTGAAGGCGACGACGAACCGAAGATACACTGCAGCTGTAGGCTGAGGATATCGCAGATGTTTAAAATCTCCAGAAAGTTGGCCCATCCAGGCCGTGATATAGCACGTTGTAGGTCTGCAGTCATGGGAAGACAACACCTTTGAGCAACACCGCGGGGCCTGCGACCTGATGTCCAGAGCTGCCGAAGATGTAGCAGATAGTGGGAGGTCATGAGGCATGCGTACATGCTGCTAAAGTGCGTACTCCCATGTGTGCGCTCACCTGCAAACCACGGGGAAAACTCTCTAAGAAGGTGTTCAATCATTCGAAGGAAATGTGATGATGGCAAAGGCCGCGACATATGCCATAACGTCGCCAACATAATCTGTCGGGCAAGCACAAGAGTGGACGTCTCAGGTACACCTGCAGTCTGAAACTTAAGGGGGGCACCAATGAGATCTGTCCACGACGTGATCAAGATAATCTGTTGTTGGAATGTATGATCCACAGCAGCATGAGGGAGATCTTGGAATGAACTTCTGGTCTGGAATACTGTTCGCAACGCTGTGTCTATGGTGTCCGTGATCGTGACTGGGGATGTTCCTGCATCAGAAAGTCTAACGCTGAAGCCGAGCAACCATAGGAGTCGAACTGCAAACAGTGAAAAAGTATATGGATGCCATGAAGGTCGACGCGAGAGCGGTACAGCACAAGTAAAACTCACACCTCCACACCGTCGCGTACACATCGTGATGAGAATTGAAAGCCCAGAACAATCCAAGCTGAATGCCAGAGTGCCTAAGACCACTAAAGATCCCAAGAGCAAGCCCAAGACATCAACCTCGGAAAGCCGAAAGGCTAGTACAGTAGGCTGCAATATATATGTGTATGTTTTTGTCAAGGCGAGCCCTGGGTGCGTTTCCTGAGCGGCTCCTGCAAAACGCACTCCCGCCGTCACTCGACGGGCCTCGAGAGATGTGGCAGCGGCAGCAATAACAATGGGAGGACAAGGCAAAGCAAGCTGGCTGAAACGGTGCTGGTGTGGACGCTGGCGTGCTCCCTCTCTGGGCCTCGCGCCCGCGGAGGCGATATTAGAATCAATATCAAATGTGAGAAAGAGCACAAGCACACACACACACACACACACGCACATGCACGCACACACACATGCACGCACGCACGCACGCACGCACGCACGCACGCACGCACGCACGCACGCGCACACACGCACGCACGCACGCACGCACGCACGCACACGCACGCACGCACACACACGCACACGCACACACACAAACACAAACACACAAACACACACTTTTCGGTCGCTCGCGGGCGGGGCGAAGAGCCTGACGGCCGTGAAGAGTTGCACGCTGGCACAGCGGACTAACGCTGGGCTAAGGCAAAGCGAAAAGGGAAGAAGAACCATGCTCCTCACGACGGGGGGCGGGGGGCAACGGGCAGCGGCGGGTGGCAAATACATGCACGCATGCACACACGACAGCTCTCGGAGGTCCGCGCGGAGTTCTCAGGGCCGGCGCTGGATCTACCCCCTCGTGGCGCCTGCGGCGCTGCCTCCCAGCGCGCCCCGCGCGCCAGGAAAGGGATATTCAGCACCGGCCCGAGAATTTCGCGTGGAGCTCTATCCGCTCACGCGTGTGCCGTTGTTAGAATAACGACAAAACGGGATAAACATGATTCATCGGAGCTCCGCGCGAACTTCTTGGATCGTAACTGAACCCCCTCCCTGGCGCGCATAGCGCGCCAGGGGCGGTGCCGCCAGGAGGGCGGCGGGGGCAGCGCCATAGGCTCCTCCACAACCAACGGTGGGCACCATAAGCCTACCGCCACCAAGGGAGGCACACCATATGTCCTCCGACCTTTTTACTCCATCAGTTCAACCCTCAGTGAATCTTTCAATGTGATACTTCAGCCTCTCTCCAGTCTGGGCCGTGATCGGGACTTGTATCCCCTGCCGGCCGTCCAGTGCCGCCCCACATACTCCAGCGAATTCATGGAACTTGGGCGGGGGAGGGCAGGGGGGCTTGACTTGTCCCCTCTATGTTTCTGCTGCCGTGTCAGGCTCCTTCAGGCAGTTTGCTCCTGCTGCCCCGTCAGGCCCCCTCAGGCAGCTTGCATCTACTCCGTAGGCCCCCACGGCCACAACCGCTCGGCCGCCATGACGGTTGGCTACCGCTTGCGGCGCCGTGGCAGGGAAGACTCTCGCGATGCTCGCCGTGCTGGCCGCCGCACGGGTTCACGGGAGCGGAGGGGCAGAGGCCGGAGCCGCCATGAGGCGCGGCCACGGGATACGGGTTCGGGCCACCACAGGGCCCGTGACATGGAACGGACGCCCGCCCACCATGGGGGCGGCGGCCGCTCCAGGAGCCACCATGCGGCTCCGTCAGACCCACCGCGCCCATCATGCGGTGCCCGCGGCCACCTTGCTACTGAGTGGCCGCCGGCGGCCAGTCCTGCAGCCACGCCGAAGTCCTCGTCCGCACCGCAGCCGCCGATTCTGCCTGCTCCGAGGGCGCACGGGGGTCGTGAAGTCCCACAGCCACCGCCTCGTCCGCGCGGTGTTGACACGACTCCGCAGGTACTGCGGCCAAAGCCTCAAGGTCCCACCGTGCGTCCTCGGGCAGGTAGTCCATATTTGGAGCGTCCGCCCAACCAGCTCGAGGAGGCCAAAAATCATCATCGACCAGCTGTCCGACGATGACTTGAGGCACTTCGCCTTCGATGGCCGGCCGCGACGGGGCCCGGATCCTGCAGACTGCGCGGGGCCTGCCACCGAGTGTTCACCCCGACCTGCCCTTCGGCCCGGAGTTCATAGAAGCCCAGAAAGAGTGTAATGCTGAGGTGTTTCGGCGCTGCGCTGCCCCCTGCACCGCGAAGGTGAGGAAGGACATCAGCCAGAACGCCGACGATTTCTGCCCGTACATCATGCGGTCGCAGGTGATGGGCGACTGCGGCGCAGGTTGAGAACATCGTGCGTCTACGTACAAGCCCGTGCAACTCCGCTATCCCACTTAGTGGGATTGTGAGTCCCCAAGGATGCTGCTAACCAAGTCCCCCCCCCCCCACCCTGGCTCCAGATGATCCTGCGGGGTGACCCAACATTTGCTCACTCCCAAATCCCGGTCTTTACGTAACATTCGGGGGGTCCCCTGGGTCGGGACGGGAAAGGGAAGGGGGGAGATTACTTATCGACAGAAATCCCCACCACCCCTGGCGTAGTACGTGCGAGGCCGGGGGGGGGGCCGGCCCGTCCACCCACCTTCCCACCATAGGGGGAGGTGCGAAGTCCCTGTGGACGGGACGTGGTAGGCACGGAGGGGCACCACAGGCTCCTCCACAACCAACCGTGGGCACCATAAGCCTACCACCACCACGGGGAGGCACACCATGTGTCCCCCCCCGTTTTTTTTTTGTTCCATCAGTTAACACTCAGTGAACATTTCAACGTAATGCTTCAACCTCTCTCCGAGAAGTCCACGCGGACCTCCGATTGATACAGCTTTTGCCGTTTCTGTTCATGGAGTTGTGCTGTCAACCTCGGTCCTCGTCGTCGCCCCTCTGCGCCGATCCTGGAAGCTCCGCCGCGGCGCCCGCCCGATCGGCTGCACTCGGCTGCAGGCCCTCGTCGCCCCACGGCCACCCGTACGTGTCCAGCTGCGTGTCGCCCT